ACTAAGATGCAAGGGGCTTACTGGGAGTGGGATAGAATGGGAAGACTTTAGTGATTGAGAAAGCACAATAAAAGAACAGTGTTCAGGAAGACAGAAAATGGCAATAATGCCATTAAGATGCAAGGGGTTACTGGGAGTGAAGAATGAAAAGACATTAATAAGGAAATAAGACAATAAAAAACAAGGTTCAGGAAAACAGAAGATGGCAATTTAAAATTTGAAGATTGTAGGTGGCAGGAAAACAAAACATCCACAATTGAGAAGTGCGAGAAAAGAAACTATTTGAATAGAGGTTACAGTTACATGTAGCTATTTCAGCAGTAAAATTATGAGACCTAAGAACCAATCTAGTAGTACACTTAAATTCATGTAGACAATGAATCAAGGAAGAGAGCTTGTCAGAACAACTGCCATGAAAATATTTATAGAAAAGACAGATGGAAGTCACATCATGGCGGTGAGAAAGTGACTGAAGTTGAGATGCCAGGTCCAAAATGATTACATTACAGACACTTCTTAAGATTTTTTGAAGAATCTCAAGATATATGATTGGAGTGCCGGGCCAGATATAGCAGCAATATTCAATCCATGAATGAATGGTATATTTATAAGTGTACAAGATGGATTCTGGCAAGAAAAATTGTCTGGCATAACACAGTGAACCAAGATTCTTAGCAGCAGACCCAGCAATTGATTCAATATAATCGTTCCGCTTCATGCGAGTAGAAAATGTGAGACCAAGAAGATGTAATTAGCCAGGAGAGAAAAAAATGGTTGTCTAAAATGATTAAAAAATAGCAGTTTTGTGTTGTAGGTATTAAAATTAACAAGCCATTTCTTGCACCAGTTAACAACTGATTTGGATGTAATTTTTAAGAACAGGTGTCAGTTTTACTTTGTCGAACATATTGAACTTACTATTAAGACAGAAACAAATAGGTTTGTCATCAGCATAAATAAAACTGGGAACTGATGACATTAAGAAAGTTGTCGATGAAGATTAGAAACACTGTATGTCCAAGGATAGAGCCCTGGAAGATCCCTGCCTTAATGTGAAATGATCTAGAATTGTAGCTGTTTAATGCAAACTTAATTTTTTATGAATGATTGGATTAGGTCATATATCCCACCTGAGACTACATAGTGTTTTATAGCCCCCTTGTTCTGGGGGTCACTTTTGGTTGACAACCTAGATTCCATCATAACATTGCATCTTTTCTCTTCTTTCTTCCCTCGGCTGTCTTCTCCCACTCAGGTGATCGCTAGTTGGTTTATTCGGAGGTAAAATGAGAACTTCAACAAAAGGGATTTTGACTTACTACTTTATTAAACACATCGATGTGTACATTTTTAACTAGCCAGTGGGGTTGTTCTATTAACCCCACTGGGGAACAAGTTCCCCAAGACACAAAATAATCATGTCTCTTGTGTATGATGTGTAAAACTTAACTCAACAAAAACATTCCCCACATTCAGCTCAAATTCAAAATCAAGATCCGTATTTTGTCTTAAAGGTCAGCCTCAGAAGGTCTGAGCCAAAATACATTGTCACTAAAAAATAATAGTCTGAAACTAATATTTAACAAAGGTAGAGGGTTACTGTGTGACGTTGTATGAGCGTAATAAAAGGTAAGAACTGAAGTTCTTGGGGCTAAGCAGGAAAAATAATGGCTAAGTCCAGAATTGAAGAGGTGGAGATTTAAATAAAGTCTAATAATAAAGTCTAAATAAATGTAACGAAGAGTCCTAAATGCTGCATACCCGCTCTCTTCTGGGGCGGTCTTGGTCACTGCACCAAATATGCAAAATGTTGTATAGCCCCATCGTTCTGGGAATCCCTTAGCTGACACCACTTAGGCGATCAAAATAAAGTTGTCTTCCTCTGTTTCTTCCCTCGGAAGGGTGATCGCTAGTTGGGTTTTAGTTTGGAGGTAAAATGAGATTTTTAACAAAAGGGATTTTAAACTTATCTATTTTATTAAACACATCGATGTGTACATTTTTAACTAGCCAGTGGAGTCACTCTGTCACCCCCTCACTGGGGAGCAGTTTCCATACATGAAAATAAAACGTTTACATTCTTTGACGTGTAAAATTTAACTCCCTGAAAACACTTTTTAACTCTAACATTCCCACGTTCAGCTCAACCAGTGAAAATTGACATCCCTATTTTGTCTACCATCTGACCTTAAAGGTCAGCCTAGGAAGGCCTGGGCCAAGATACATTGCCACTACAAAATAATAGTCTGAAACTATTATTTAACATTAGCCCTTGAGTTTGTGGTAAAGGCCAGCATGCCAAACCCTAATGTCTTTGATATCTGAAGCCACAGTCTGAGCCTTACAGTCTTTGGAAAATAATCTCTGATTTTAGAATCTACTTTTATTCCTGGATTAAAAAATGTTTGAATGCCAAGATTCTTTGAATGCAGTTTCTGCATCTTCTTTGCAACAGAATGTCTTTAGGCTTGAAAAATTGTCAAGATGCTTGAAAAAGTGGTACTCAGTGAGTGAGAGATCAGGTGAATATGGTGGGTGTGACAATGTCTCATATCCCAAAATGCTGTGCTTTTGCAATATCATTCTGGCAATATATACTCAAGTAGTGTCATGAAGCAGAATTGAACCTTGTCAACCAGTTCCAGTTTGGTTAACTGAATGTACATTTCATCCAGTTGCTGCCAGTAAACTTTGGCAGTGATGCTCTGAAAGCTGTATTGGATAACGTCAATAGTGAACTGCCAGACAGTCACCATAATCTTCTTATGGTGCAAAAGAACATGAATTCTTCATCATGATCAAGTCACTGAACTGATCACTTATAATTCTCATAAAAGCTCCATTTCTAATCACAAGTCACTATTCGAAAGAAACGGACCATTAAAATTTTGCAGATGCAGCAATGAATACAGATCAAAATGTCAAACTTTTTTGACTTTTACTGAGTTCTTGGGGAACTATTTTTTGAGTTTCTCGACCATGCCAATTTTTCTTAAGATGATCCAATGTTTTTGAAATGGGGACACACACTATCTAAGACATTTCTCTGACATTCTGATGTGGAATTTTTCTCAACTAGTGTTTCATATGTTGATTGTCAATTGCAGCTGAACATCCTCTACTGCTCATATTCCTACAACCAAACTTTAGAAACTAGTGCCATACTGTCTAATAACATCCTTCATCCCATGCTCTTTGGATGCTGGCTGCAGTTTCACAAAAATTAGGACCAAGATTAAACTCAAGCAAAAAAGTAATCATATCTCCTTTTTTTTTCATGTTCAAGATGAGGGATATATAATGTTCTAAATTAAATTTTGAAAGAGATTGATATAAAATTAACAAAGAATTATATTTTGTGCAACTGAACATTTGAACACAATTAAAAGCTTTATTCTAAAACTGGACATTTTCCAATTTGTATACAAGTTGTGTCATATTTTTGAGAACAAGAGCAATTCTGAAAACGATTGATATAAAATTAACGAAGTGGACACTTTAATCATTAAGAATGAGTAATATATTTTTGTGAAACTATTATGAGAATATATTAGAACGCAGTTAAAAGATTCATTCTAAAATCCAATATTATTTTCTAAACAACTTAATACTTTTCTCCAGTGTACACATAGTTTACACAAGAGGCATCACATATTTGAGAACGACATTCTGAAAGAGACTGATATAAAATTAACACTAAGGGGACACTTTAATATATTTGTGAAACTATTATAATAATAATAAATTAGATTAATAGAATTATTCTCAAATCGGAAATTATTGTCTGAACAAATAGCTCAGAAAAAGAGAGAACAATATACTTATGTGATTAGCTGCATTGTGTGTGTTTTCATATGTGTGTGTGTATGTTTGTGCAACGTGTATGTGTGTGTGTGTGAGGTACAGCATGATTCTGTGAAAACTAAAAATTCATTAGCCTTGCAACTAAGTCTTGCTGAATGAGAAACATGATCATCTTGTCGCTATAGCTTCCCGGGGTGAAGAGCATACAAATACAGGAAGATAGTTTATGTCATTTGCTTTTATATAGCTCTATACAATGCCACCTAGTGGACATTAAGGGAAGTGACTTGGCAGAGAAAGTGAGGTAATCCCACAGATTAATGACAAGTACAACATTGATAAAAGCTAAAGTAGAATCTGCGATGTTATTGGTCCTAACCTGGTATCTCAGCTTCAGTCATTTTTCCCACCACTATAACGTAGCTCTGCCTTTTCTATAAATATTTTCATGGAAATTGTTATTACAAGTTTTCCTTTTTGGCATGTCACATTTACATATATTGGCAGTTAGGTCTCATCATTTTACTGTTGAAATATCTAAATGTAATCACAAGCTCTATGCCAACAGTTTCTTTTATCGCACTTCTCGCTTGTGGAACTCTCTTTGGGCCTCTTTCTTCCCAGTCAGCTTTGATCTTCAAAAATTTAAATGCAATGTCAGTCATTATCTTCTGCCTTCTTAATTCCTATTCATTTATTGTTCTTGCTCCTTAATAATGTTTTACTTTTTTTCACATTCTCTTGCAATCATTAACCCTTGCATCTTAGTGTCTTTACTGCCTTGCTTGGTGGGGGGGGGGAATAATTTAAAAGAAAAGTGGTCAGATTTCAGTGTTCAGTGGGTTAAGCCTTGGTTTATTGTACTTAACTAATGCTTTTGTTTTAGGTATAAGTAATGTAACTGAATCATGTAACTGCAGATTGTAAATGTTTGTAATTTGTAAACCAAAAGTAACTATAAGAGAATTAAGTCAAAATTATAATGACCATATTTGAGAAATAACTTTTAAACATACCAATTGGAGAAAATTTAAAATATTCATTAAACTCTCATTGGAAATTGTTTTGTAATGAAAAACAAATCTTCTTGGAAAGATTAAATCACATTACAAAAAAACAATTTCGTACAATTCACAAATAAATGAAAATTTCAATGCATTTGTGAATTATTTAATGAAATGATAAACTACTAGTACTATGTAGATATATATGAACAGTGGGAGATAGATAGATAGATAGATAGATAGATAGATAGATAGATAGATATGAAAATATTCAGATAGATATGAAAAGACTGAGATAGATAGATATGAAATTGAAACAGATATATAGATCTGAACATAGCCTAATATATATATATATATATATATAGATAGATAGATAGATAGATCTGAACATAGTCCAATATATATATATAAAGATAGATAGATAGATAGATAGATAGATAGATAGATATGACATTTGCCCGAGATAGATAGATAGATAGATAGATAGGAAATGGACTGAGATATATGGACAGATAGATATGAAATGGTTTTAGACAGATAGATAGGTAGATGGACAGATTGCACTGGACTAAGCTAGCTAGCTAGATAAGAAATTGGCTGAGATAGATAGATAGATAGATAGATAGATAGATAGATAGATAGATAGATAGATAGATAGAAAAAAGATAGACAGATAGATACATACATATATACATACATAGACAGACATCTGAAATAGCCCAAGATAGATAGATAGATAGATAGATATGAACAGATCAGCATTAGATAGATAGATAGATAGATAGATAGATAGATAGATAGATAGATATGAAATGGACTAAGCTAGCTAGCTAACTAGATAGATATATGCAGGGAGGTTGATAGATATTAAATGGACTGGGATAGATAGATAGATAGATAGATAGATAGATAGATAGATAGATAAGCAAGCAGATTGATAGATATAGAGTCAGATAACTAGATATATATGAACAGATTAAGCATAGCTTAGATGTGGCACAATGCCAAATATTTGGAGCACCCATTATGGAAACATTGTTGCCTAAATTACACAAAGTTGAAAATAACACTGACATCACATTTTAACAAATATATTTACCAAAATTACACAAAAATATCTTGAACTACTAAAGAGTGAATTTATTCAATTTATATCACCATTGGATTCAACCATGGCCTCTAGATGACTTTGGAATTTCCTGCATCCCTTCCTGACAGTCGCTGTGTTTATGTTGGTGAATACTGCCATAATCCTTGTTTTCAGTTCATTTTTGGTGTTAAAAGGAGTTTTGTTGGTCTCTCACTGAATTGTGCCCCACACATAATAATTAAGGGGGGGGGGTGCAGTCTGAGGTGCAATATAGTAGGTTAAACCATATTACTTTGCTTTTTGTAATTTATAAACAGTGACTGGTACTGCTGATAATGCAAAGCTCTTCTATGAATTGAGCACTCTGAGTCACTGGTGTGTTTATTCAAAAATAAATACATAAAAATTCAAGTTCCTCTCTGCTGAGAGCCAATAACTTAGGGGAAAAATATCCAACTTATGCCAAATCAGTTGGGCTTTGATCCTGGCTTGAGGCAATTGGATGTCTAGCCACACTGATGAGCTGTGCTACAGCAAACTGTCTGTCTATGGATGACAAGAGATAGATAAAGTCAGATAAATAGTTACGATCAGATAGATAGATAGATAGATAGATAGATAGATAGATAGATAGATAGGAAATGGATTAAGATAGATAGATAGATAGATAGATAGATAGATAGATAGATAGATAGATAGAAATGTAAGCAGGTAGATAGGTTGATATATATACAGTCAGATAGATAGTTATGATCAGATAGATAGATAGATAGATAGATAGATAGATAGATAGATAGATGTGTATAGAGATAGATAAGCAAGCACATAGATTGATAAAGTCAGAAAACTAGACTTAGATAGATAGGAAATGGATTGAGATAGATAGATAGATAGATAGATAGATAAATAGATAGATAGATAGATAGATAGATAGATAGATAGGAAACAGATAGATAGATAGATAGATAGATAGATAGATAGATAGATAGATAGATAGATAGATAGATAGATAGATAGAAATGTAAGCAGGTAGATAGGTTATATATAAAGTCAGATAAATAGTTATGATCAGATAAATAAATAGATAGATAGATAGATAGGAAATGGATTGAGATAGATAGATAGATAGAAAGAAATGTAAGCAGGTAGATAGGTTGATATATATAGTCAGATAGATAGTTATGATCATATAGATAGATAGATAGATAGATAGATAGATATAGATAGATAGATGTGTATAGAGATAGATAGATAAGCAAGCACATAGATTGATAAAGTCAGATAACTAGACTTAGATAGATAGATAGATAGATAGATAGATAGATAGATAGATAGATATGGATTTTATAAGCATAGTTTGGATGTGACACAAAGCTGAAAGTTTGGAGCACTCAGTGAGGATTGAACTCACTACATAATTTATCTAGCAAAGATAGGCAGCTAGATACATATGAACAGACTTAGATAGATAGATTGAAAAGGGAAAAAATAGATAGATAAATAGATAGGTGTGAATCTAATCAACTTGGTCAATCTTTAACACAGTGGATAGATATGTTAAAAACTCAGAGTAAGACTGATGAGTAAATCTCCCTGAAGGCAAAGATAATCTATTACTTGTAAATCACTTCTGCATCAGACATATTGTTTTACAGCATGTTTGTATTAAATTATGTTTAGAAAAACAAAACAATACATTTTTTTTTTAATTTTGGACTTGTATATTTTCTTTATTCATTGTGCAGCACATGAGAATCCAATATGTTCGAACGTGGCTATGATTTCCTGTTTTCTCCTGTACTTATCAAAACTGACATTGTCATTATATATTCATATTCATCATAGATTCAAAAAAAGTCTTTTTGTTTTTCTATTTCTCTTAGCAGAACAACAAGTGTGAATATTTCATTTAGAAAAATAGTTTAAAATTATAAGGGAAGCTGAATGAGAGAGTAAGAGAGAAAAGATCAACAAAGGATAGGAAGTTGTGGAGAACCATCATCGCCTACATCTTGAAGGGACATAACACATTAAAGAAGAAAATAGGTTACCTGATAATGGATGATAGAACAGAGAGTTGGAGATATAGAGCTGTGACAAACATTGCCTAGATATACAAAGGGAAGGAAGTTGTGGAGAGTCATGATCACCTGAATCCTGAAAGGACATAAAAGAAGAATATAAGTTATCTGATAATGGACTACAGAACCGGAGTTGGAGGGATAGTTCTGAGGAAAAAATTTGCATAGATTTATAAAGGACAGGAAGATGAGGAGAGCTATGACTGTACACATATGAAGGGTCGTGTTAAATTAAATAAGAATATAGGTCACTTAATAATAGATAATAGAACAGTGAGTGGGAGAGATAGTAAGAAAACAAACATTGCTTATATCTACAAAGGATGGGAAGTTGTGGAGAATCATAATCAACCACATTCAAATTACTCCAGTGTAGTGATAAGAGGTGGTGAGAGAGATACTATGAGAAAGTTTTAGTGTAAAGCTTTACAAACCATTTTTTACACCTTTCATCAGTCGCAGAAACTTCTCCATCAACTATACAAATTTTTTCTTTCATTTCTGTTGCATTTTTACCTTTCTTAAACTAAAAAGTCTATTATGAAATATTATGAATTTCTTTACAGATTCAATTTCACAATAAGAAAATAAAAATATACTTAGTCTGAAAAAATGTCTGCTCATAATGCAAAAATCTTTTTGAATGAAATTAATTCAAACTAAATGACTAAATTTCTTTACAGCTTCAATTTCACAATAAGAAAATAAAAATATACTTAGTCTGAAAAAATGTCTGCTCATAATGCAAAAATCTTTTTGAATGAAATTAATTCAAACTAAATGACTAAATTTCCTTACAGTTTCAATTTCACAATAAGAAAATAAAAATATACTTAGTCTGAAAATTTAAAAAATGTACGCTCATAATGCAAAAATCTTTTTGAATGAAATTAATTCAAACTAAATGCTCCTAATGCCATATAAAACCATTCTGACTAATACAATATAACTCCAGGTGGAAAAAATCTTTCCAGTGGTAAATTTACCTGGCATTTGTTTATATATTTCAGCTATAAAAGTTTTTAAGCCATAAAACATTCACTCTTGCATTTTTGTGGTGTAAAATATCAGCATCTCAGTTTGCTAAAATCTGCCATTTTTTTAATAGCCACATTGAGATTGGAGAGTTGGTTGTGATCACTTCTTTGCAGTTACTTTTTTGCCAACTGGAATAAGTTTAAAGTGAATTATTCCTCTGCAATCCCAACTAAAGGGCATCAACACCTTGTCTGGATGCAAGCCTGCTTTAGCCACAGGTTCTGAACATTCACAAGCTTGTTTCCAGCCCTGTTTGTGTTGAACATCATAGATAATCTTTTTCATCCTCTGTGACAATTCTGTTCAAGAATGGCTCCTTTTTGTGGCATAACAGCAAAAAACACAATCAAGTTTGATCTATTCTGTCTGAGTATATGTCAAGTTTGGAATCAAACCAAAGTCTCTTCAAATGGCAAAAGGTACTCGCTGTCTGAAGTTATTAAGCAAATTATATGAACATCAATAATTCAAGTTTGGTTTGAAAAAAATTGTCAAATTTTAAACAATCAATTTAGCCTGAGTTAAAATTTTAGGCAGTATCAATATGTTATTGAAGTTATTTGATGTATTCTAAAAAGCTTCTGTCTGAAGTTATTAGGCAAAACCAAAAAATCACATTTTACTTCAATAAAATTTTTTATTAAATCATCAAAAACTGATAAACACCTATAAAAGAACAAATAACAAACAGATGATAAATTTTTGAATCTTTTACATTTTAATATAGGGACCCTTCTTCTCAATAACAGCCAGTAATCTATTGGTTGATTTTGTTAATTATTTTTACTTCAGTAGGTTCAATTTCCGTCATGGTAGTTTTAATTGCTTCCCATAGGTCTGCTTTGCTGTTATATTGTTTGCCACCTTCATATAATTTCATCTTCACAATTGACAATCACATATATTTCTGATTGTTTTCAGGTCAGAACTTCATGGTGGCCATTCCATTTATTCCTCTCTCAAAGAATTCATGGGTAAACTTCGATACACGAGAAAGAGCTTTTTCGTTCATAAATACACAATTCACTTTGATACTGCAAGACTGGGAGTTGTACCATGAAAAGAAAGTCTTGTTTATACAATTGCAATAGTTAGCACTGTTCATTTTAACTCCTTCATCAACTTTCAATGGTCCAATAATGATTTGGTCAACAATTCCAGCCTGTACCATAACACTATGGCCTCCTTGTTGCATTTTTTTAGTCACAGGCATGTCAAAATTGGATAAAATCCATCCTTTGGCCCATCCATCAGGTCCATCAAATCTCACTCAATATTTGTTCAAGAAAATTACTTTAGGAAAGTCAATTTTCATACATTTCTAGACCCAATTTTGACGCTTTCAAATATTTGCGTTAGTGAGAGGAGGTTGCTTAGGAGTTTTTTTTAAAGATCCCAATTCACAAAGTATTCTACACCTTTTGTCCTTCTTAACTCCATCAATTCCAGCCTTTTCAAAGATCTGAGTGCTAGTCAAAAGTTGTTGTTTTGCTATGACTCACTTTAGTTTATTTCTGTATTGAGGAAGCAAGTTCTTAAAGCCTCTCACTTTGCTTCAAGTTCTCAACTTGTATTTCCAACAGCATCCTTTATTGTTCAATGATCTCTGCAAAGCTCCTTTGATATCTCCAATGTGAACATTCCCTCACTCAATAACTTTATTTTCTATTTTTCTGAAGTCATTAGATCTTTCCCTTTACCCATGTTTCAGCATATGTTCTTGACAAAAAGAAAAAATAGGTTTTATTAGACTTCAAAGGTATTAAACTAATATCAGTTTAATCTGTATAGTCAGACGATTTTTGTAAATTACAAATATCTCAAAAACGAACAATTCAAAATGATAGAAAATTTTGTTAAATATTTTACTAAGAATGAAAATGAAGGAGTTTAAATTTGACAAACATTGATTCTGGATATTTTGATTTATTGAGGTTTAGTTGATTTGCATAATAACTTCAGACAGGCTGTAGTTCACATATTGAATTTCAAATTCTTAACAATCTCTTCAATTAAAATCTTCTGTTTATTCTCCACAGTGGCAAGCAAAGGGTTTTGGTCATGGTTGATCAGTTAGGTCAAAATCACTATGATGAAATCTGCCAAATCACTTTTTGCCAGTCTGAAGAGCCAGAGCATGATGCAAATAAAATTTCTGAATGTTTTTTGCTGCATTTCCAACACTTACCCTATTCCAAAATTCACAGAGCATAATATGATGAAAGTGGAACTTTTCTATTTACACTATTTATATCATCCATACTGTTGTCCTCATCTTTATTGCCATATTCATGACATTTCAACTGTTGTATGCTCTGACCTTCTTCAGGTGTAATTTTGATCTGAACCTTTTATTTAATCCATGAGGGACTTTTCTTTTTTTCATTTAATTCAAGATGCTTTGATTTTCTTTAATTTTTCGATTCCCCATCTTTAACAAAAATAGAATGGCAGACCAGAACTGGTGGAATTAAAGTGTGTAGCTCATGTAAACATCAGCAATGGAAATAGCAATATAGCAGTGATAGGCTTGGGATGTTTCATCCTGTGGGAAAGAGGCTACCAAATAGAAAATCAATCATCTTCAACAAGATGGTGTAAAACATTTTAACTTCCATCAAGGCTGGAAATTGAAGATTGAGCAGCTCCAGGCCAGATATGGTAATAAAGCTCTATCTTTGGTCAAATCTGACTCTTGTAATGATAAAGTATTGCAGAAGAAGTCAGGTAATTCCTGAAGGAATGAAATGAGCCAACCATTTTTCCAGCATCGTTAGCAATGGCAAATAAAAGAAATGAATGAATTCTTTTAAAAATATTTTAAGAATTTCTTTTATTTTATCTTTAATTTCTATCTCTTCTTTTTTCTTTCCAGCTGATTTATTTTTCTTTAATGAGATCTCTCTCCATTTTGCTTTTTCATCTTTTCTTCTTTCTTGCTTTCTTTCTTTTTTCTCCTTTTTTTCTTCATTTTCCTCACATTTCTTTATTTTAAGAATTTCTTTTCTTTCTTCTTTTTACTTTTAATTCCTGTCTTTTCTTTTTTCTTTCTAGCTGATTTATTTTTCTTTCATGAGATCTCTCTCCATTTTGCTTTTTCATCTTTTATTCTTTCTTGCTTTCTTTCTTTTTTTCTTCTTTCTTTTCTTCATTTTCCTCACATTTCTTTATTTTAAGAATTTCTTTTATTTCTTCTTTTTACTTTTAATTCCTATCTTTTCTTTTTTCTTTCTAGCTGCTTTGTTTTTCTTTCATGAGATCTCTCTCCATTTTACTTCTTTGTCTTTTATTCTTACTTCTCCTTTCTTTTCTTCATTTTCCATTTATTGTTTTATAGATTGCACAAGTAAATATTGAATAAATTATGGCACTAGGACCAATTTGAAATGCTAGGGAAATTAGATCTAATTGCTAAAAATATTTGAATAAACCAGAAGCAAACTGTCTGCGTATGGATAGACATTGCTTGTTTCTGAATGTGATTGTAAAAATTTTAGAAAGTGTCTTAATCCAATCCAGACTTTGGAATAGAGCCGATGGAAAAACCTGACACTTTCAATAGTAGCAAAAGGAAAGACTTCTTTCTTGTTTTATTGCAAGGCTCATTTGAAGCATCTGTAGTCCAAAGCTCCTGAGATGTTAATTATAGGACTTTCAATGTTTACAGATTGTAACTGTCGAGTCAAATATTGGTTTTATGTTAAAGCTCAGTTGATTGAATAAATTGTGATTTTAATTGAACACTGTGATGGACGTGAAGTCGAAGCCATTTTGGGTTTTATTTGGAGATGTAAAGTGAGACAGAAACAGCCTGAAAACCAATTGCTTGCTCAACGTACAGGAAATTACACAAGATATCTGCATTGTTCTGCTTGTGCACAATCATGCCCCCAGCTAAATTTACATTTAATTAAGCATTGCAATGGTTAATTGGTTTAGAGAGAGATTATTAGTGTATGCCTCAAGCTTTTCAAAATGGTGTGCATCCATATAACAAAATGTATTTAGAGTAAGTTCAGATGGATTTGATTGTATTGAATTGTTTTAAACTCTTGCTTCTTGTGGCATGTCTTGCTTGATTTGATTTTTTAAAAATTAGCTTACAGTTTTGTTTGGTTTGTTTAATTTGCTAACGGCATATCAACCTCAATGGTTTATTAAATGTAACAAGATCTTTAGACTAGATTTGTATGAATATGAGATGTATTCTTTGTAAAAAATCAGTTTGTAAGAGATCAGGTTTCATTGATGTATTTTTGTAAAGAGGGTTTGTAGAGAGTCTGAAGTTTTGTTTATTCTCTTTGGCAGTATATTAATCTCAGTTGTTTATATAATGCCAACAAGATTTTTAGGATAGGTTTTTATGAATAGAATATGTATTAATATTTTTTTTCCAAAAATGTATTGCTGGTAAATTTTTTTCAAAAATGTATTGCTTTTTTTTCAAAAATGTATTGCTGGTAAATTTTTTCCAAAAATGTATTGCTGGTAAATTTTTTCAAAAATGTATTGCTGGTAAATTTTTTTCAAAAATGTTTTTGGTAAATTTTTTTCAAAAATGTATTGCTGGTAAATTTTTTCCAAAAATGTATTGTAAATTTTTTCCAAAAATGTATTGCTGGTAAATTTTTTTCAAAAATGTATTGCTGGTAAATTTTTTCCAAAAATGTATTGCTGGTAAATTTTTTTCAAAAATGTATTGCTGGTAAATTTTTTTCAAAAATGTATTGCTGGTAAATTTTTTCCAAAAATGTATTGCTGGTAAATTTTTTTCAAAAATGTATTGCTGGTTTTTTTCCAAAAATTTTTAAATTTTTTTTCAAAAATGTATTGCTGGTAAATTTTTTTCAAAAATGTATTGCTGGTAAATTTTTTCCAAAAATGTATTGCTGGTAAATTTTTTTCAAAAATGTATTGCTGGTATTTTTATTATAAAAATCCATTTTTATACTTTCATAGAAACAACATGTTGAATACAAAGACATTAATGGATGTCAGAACGGGGACTGAGAGATGTTGAAGTGTCATTAAGTTACTAAGAGAAAGAATGTCGAGAGTCATGATTGGCCACATCCTGTACAGACATGGTACATTAGTGTTGCTTGAGAAAAACAGGGACTCAAAAGAATTCTGGCAACGGTACAGGCTCCAAGTAAAAAGCTGAGATCATGTTTCACGAGCCCAGTATTTGATTGCTTTAAAAATCTACATTGCTTGGCGCTATAAAATATTCTGTGAAAGGTGCTGCCTGAGGTTATATGACTTGATGGAGAATGCTAATAATA